ACATAGGAGTAGGTAAAGAATTCATGAACAGGACTCAAACCGCACGGGAAATACTTCCCAGAATCAATAACTGGGACCACTTCTTATTAAAAAGTTTCTGCATGTCAAAAGAAATCTCCAGCATAGTGAAAAGAAAACCCACAAACTGGGAAAAGATTTTAGTGAACTCTCTCTCAGACAAGGGCCTCTTGTCTAAAACATATAAAGAATTAAAGAAACTCAGACCTCCAAAATTCAAAGATCCAATCCAAAAATGGGCATCTGAGATGAATACGCAATTCTCAGATGAAGAAATGCAAATGGCAAATAAATACATGAAAAAATGCTCATCATCATTGGTCATTAGAGAAATGCAAATTAAAACCACACTGAGATACCATCTCACTCCTGAAAGAATGGCCAGGATCAAGAAAACCGACAACAAATGCTGGAGAGGCTGTGGGGAAAAAGGAACTCTCCTGCACTGCTGGTGGGAGTGTAGACTGGTACAGCCTTTGTGGAGATCTGTCTGGAGGTTTCTCAAAAAGTTGGGACTGGAAATCCCATTTATTCCAGCTATTCCACTTCTAGGCATATTCCCAGAAGAACTGAAAGCATCATACCACAGTGATATATGTGCACTATGTTTATAGCAGCACAATTTGTAATCGCCAGATCTTGGAAACAACCCAAGTGTCCATCAACTGAGGAATGGATAAAAAAGTTGTGGTATTTCTATACAATGGAGTATTATTCAGCTATAAAGAAGGATCACATTGAGATATTTATCAATAAATGGGTGCAGCTTGAGACCATACTCATAAGTGAAATAAATCAATCTCGCATGTGTGAATACCGAATAGTTTCCCTAATGTAAGTAATGATTCAAATATATAAAAATATGTGGTAATCATGATTCCCCATTAGGTGGCCTTGAAGCCTTATAAAGTTTTCACTCATTAATGAGAAAGGCTTTATTCTGGGCTTCTTGATATGAAAATATTTGAAGCTAGAGTATATGAAGTTTTATCCAAATATTTCAAGGAAAAAGACACTATGGTAACTACTATTAAGTCAGGTTATATGGTGGTGAAGTACTAGGTTGTTGAAACAGTCATGCTGTGACCTCTATTGTTATATTGTTATGTCCTGTTTTATCTCAATCTCCCCCTTATTGTTTTAAAAAAATTATTTAGTCATTTCTTATGTTTGTCTTAATTAAAGAAAAAATTCAAAAAATTAGGATATATAAATAGTAACTCTTTTTGATTTCCTATTAACTTGTTTTCAAGTCCTGTAATACTCCCACGATCTTGTTTTGACTGATTAGACTCTGTTCCATTCTATATGATAGTATCAAGTTTGAAGACATAGGCAACTACTTTGAAGGCAATAAGATTCACTAAGATACTCATTCTGGTTTGACTATTGTCTTCTTTGGAAGTCCTGTAATGTTTACAATGCCTAAGTTTTATTGGTCTTGTTCTCTACTGTTTTGTCCAACTTTATAATATCTAATGAGATAGACAATTCTTTTTAAGGAAACAAGGGACAACGTTGATAACCATTGTTGATAACCTTGTACTCTGTTCTATACCATGTGCTATGTCTATCCTTGGTATTGACTGACAGCTTTGTTTTGCCATATTTGACTGTATTCCCCCCCCAAAAAAAAAAGTAATAAGCACTAAGGAGTAATAAAATCCAAAATGTGTAAATTTTGTTGTAAAAAAGAGAGGGAGAAAAAAAAAAAAAGAAAAAGAGCTCTAACGGATATAACAGCAAGTGTGTTTAGGGGTGTTAAATAGCTGACTATATCAATGTTTTTGGATCATTGAACACAGCTGTTTGCAGTCTCCCTGTTTGAATGTCCACCTTGTATTCTTTGATACTGTCATTTGAGGAACTATTTTCAAGATGATAATATGTAATCTACTAACAGGTGATTTCTTACTGTTATGTTTTTTTTGTTTGTTTGTTTTTGTAGTTCTGTATTACGTGTACCCTTACACCGCTTTGGTTTGTTATGTGTTTTTCTCTTTTTCCTCTTAAATTAAAAAAAAAAAAAAAAAAGAAAATTTAAGTATGTTACAAAGTGTCATGATTGTTAAACTGTAATGTCATGTATGGTTTTGATTTCTATGGTTTTTCTGTGTAAAATATGCAAGTGTTAACATTCCATTGGTATTCAAATGTTAAAACATCCTTGGTTGTTAAAAAATAATGGTTCTATTTTATGTTCTGAGGTGCTTGCTATTTCCCTAAGATGATAATGTCAAGCTTACTGCCTCTACTACACTGTACTATTGTCAATCTTTTCTTCTGGATGTTCAACAACTGAGGTTTAGAGACCAAAAATGAGAGAGATAGGGGGACTAAGAGAATAGTCACTATTGTGGCCCTAGCCTTCCAAGGTCAATGAGGACCCAAGACATAAGAAAGCCTATGCTGCATCAGTGTATACTCGGTGAGTCCCTGATCTTCTGACCAAGAAGATCGAGACCACGGAGGAAAGTGATCATTGGTGTAGAGTGTGCCTAAGGAGATTCACCAGGAGAAAAGGCCTCCCAGGCTTTCATAGAAAGCAACTTGGCCAAGCCATGGCTATGACTCATCCAAACAGGTGACACTGACAAGGGGAGCTAAGAGGTGCTATACACTGTTCCAAGGCATTTCCTGAGGAAACTTAACTGACCTTGGTAGATAAAGGAAACTGACTGTAATTAATGCAGGTCCCACCTTAACTTGATCTTTAACATCCTTCAGAAAAGTATAATTACTAGAGGTATATAAAGCAATGTTACAGTAATATATTAGTCATAAAAGAAATTCAAATCCCTAATACCTTCTGATAATTGCACGCTACACTGTTACAGATTAATGGACTGTAATGGGTTAAATTACTGAATGCAGGAACTTAAAATCCTTGGACTGCACTTAAAACGAAAAGGGGTCAAGAATGAAAAGGCATTCTGCAGAGTTCTTCAAACACAGCCGCTCTAGCTTCAACTGATCACTCATCCTATGCTACAACAAAACAAAATAGAGGGATAGGTAGGGAGCTTTTGAAGATGGAGATTGATCACATGTGTGAGGATAACGCAAAGCCAACTCTGAAAACACAGACACCCCCAAACAAGCCTCAAAAACAAGCTGTTTAACTTCCAAGAAGGCAAAGGGCCCAGGCAAGCCAGGCAAACAAAGTGCTAGCCAGCAAGGTTGAAACTGACATCCTTCTCTTGAGTATATAAATAAATGTGCTCCAGTGGTTGAGCAGTCCCATCAGGACAGAGGGCTCCAGCTGATCTCAGCTTTCACCTCTGTTCTTTATTTTCTCATCCTCACATGGTCCTTCCCCCTGGAAACACCTAGAGCTGCAGCCAGTCACTACATTTTGGGTGTCAGATATTTTGTCCCAACAATGAGAAAAGACAGAATTTGGTATCTGAATTGGAGTGGGGTTGTTGCTGTTACTGACCTGACTACATGGTTCAGTAGCCTCTGCAACTGGCTTATGGCAAGAGTTTCAAAGGATTCAGAGATGCCAGTAGAAAGAGCAGTCTTGGAATGCCTTAAACTGTACATGATAGGAGACTCTAGTCAAAGGACAGAAGACCAGAATGCTGATAGAAAAGCTGCCATTAAAGAACAGGCCCAGGAGGCTTCTGCTAGGCAAGATGGCTTTAGCTGTTGGATTCCAGAACAGCTGTTCTACCATGGCAGAGAGTTTGTCTGCATTTTGCTCTCATCCAGCAAATTGGCCTGTGACTGAGAATAAAGGCAGCAGACTAATGAATTTAGCAAGAGAAACTCCAAAACAGCCTATGCTGAGGCAGTGGCATACCTACTATTGGGGGATATTAACTAGGTTTCTGTGGAGAATCAAGAGCAAAGAGCCTAACAGAATGATTTAAAATGTTTGGAGTTTGGCTGGAAAGGAACCTCCAGTAGCCTGCAAAGATGGAATAGGAAACACTGGTCCCTGAAAAGACTACCACGAAAAAGCCAAGTATTTCAGAACAACAGAATAGATGGCTAGAGGACATCACAAGAAGTATTAGGACTGTACCTTTTACAGAGTCGTAATTTCAAAAGTCAAAGACTTTGCTAGGAGAAGTGAGTTTCAAAGAACCAAGTTGCAGAATGGTGGCAGACTAAAGAAGTTGTTTGTTGGGATTTGACTCATAGGTGGTTATCTCTATAGCCAAGAGAAAAGGACGCCTGGCTAGTAGACAGCAGATCTTAGCAGCAACCATGTGGTATTGGCTTTAGGCGTGTGAAAAATATAATGTCTTATGGGGCTAGGAAGGCTTCCCAGATTTTAGAAGGATGAAAGGATGTCATACTGAGAAGTCAGGCAGTATGCCCCTGAGAGAGCATTTATGAAACTTTGAATGTGAAACCAAAGGTGAATTGGAGACTCTAGAAGTTTGTAAAAGCCAGGAATGTGGACCCATTAAGGAAAACTGCAAAGAAGGAGCACAGCCCACCCAAAGCAAATGCCTGGGAGCTACAACCACCAACAGTGCAGTAAGGGTGAATCACCAAAGCCCTTTGAAGTTCACATCTTGCCACAGATTGCCTTGCATGTTGGACATGAGCTACAGGAATTATATTTGCCATGCTGGAATTTGGATTTTCTTAGCTCTTGTTCCTTTCAATTCCCCTCTTTGTACCTTTTGGACTGGAAATTTGCTTGCTTTTATTCTCTTCTGTCTGCCACCCTGCCTTGGAGCCAGCTGATTATGAATGGAAACATCTACAAAACGTGAGCTGAAGTAAATCTTTCCTTCTTTAACTTTGAATGTTGGGTATTTTGTCTTAGCAACAAGAAAAGACACTAAGATATGCAATTTCAATAGTAAAGGCCTAAATCAATGTTGACAAAACACAAGCTAGCTGAACTGATGTCCAAAGTGAAAAACAAAATGAGACTACTGGAGGAGGATTAGATTTGTTTAAAGTCAACCTTAACAGGACGAGGGAATGAGATGGCTTAGGAATAAATGAGGAGAGGCACCTTCCAGGGAAACAGTCTACTAGTATTTATTTATTTAGAGAGCTGGACATGCTCCTGTGTTATTTTGTCATACTTGAGAGCCAGCTGAGTTTGAATAATGAAGATGCAGATGTTTTGTCCAGTAGTATTTATTTAGAGAGATGGGCATGCTCCTGTGTTATTTTGTCATACTTGAGAGCCAGCTGAGCTTGAATAATGAAGATGCAGATGTTTCATCTTCCTCACTGGTGAGCTGTCTGAAGAGGGAGCCAGGCTGCGTGGGGTCACCTGCTCTGGAGAGCGCTGAGGGGCCAACCTGCCACAGGATGTAGAGGAAGTGCCTTAGAGTCCACCTGAAGCCTCTGCCTGCTCCCCTCCCCCTTGCCCTGCACTGCAGTCCATGCCCCTCCAGTTGGAAGCCACACAGCACACACAGCAGGGCTGAGACAGCTGGATGGCTCTACTAAGAGGACTTTGCTCTTTCAAGGTTGGAAAGGATGTGGGCGACAGCCACGGGGTTTTAGTATCTGACAGAACTTCAATCTTGAGAAGGAAAATCAATCCAGGAAGAGAGTAACCCTATGTACCTGCTTTCCACAGTCTGTTCCTCTAATAGGGATAGAATTTAAAGGCCAGTAGCAAGATGTGGGAAAAGTTACAACACAGGCCATGCTTAAGGAGTGTGGATTTTTGGCAAAGTTCTTTTTATCTTTTTTTCTTAAATTGTCTCCCCAATTTAAAGCCAGATGTTTAAGAAGAATTTGTGACCTTAATACGTTCAATGACAGGCAGTACAAAAGGACATGTCGCAAATATTTTGTACAACAAGAAAAGAAACAACAACTGAACCCCACAAGACAAACTGAGCTCCCAAACACACATGTACACAGCAGAATTCAGAAATACCCAGGATGACTCTTCAGGCTTAATGGATGGCATCCTACTGAAACGAAATGTGTAGTAAGAGGAAAATGGAGATATGGAGAAAGCAAACTCATTTACTTGCCACCCAACTAAGCGCTATGGAAGATAAAGCCACCAGGACAAAAGGATTTTCTACAAATTACTATCATAAATATGTTGGGTGAGCAGTTACTGCTATTACTCTACTGAAGAAACCATCTTCATCCTGTTTGCACATTTTCTACAGCCTTGCACCTGGGATATGTTTCTATTATAAGTCCCTTTGGCAGTGGCAACAGGCATTTGTTAAATATTCTATTGGCTCAAACTAGTAAAACCTTGTATTTCTCTATTGCGCCACTATTAAGAGCAGCATTTGTGCATTCTGTCCCTTGCTTCTTTCTCACAGTTATTTCACGGGGAATTGACTGGGTTGGGTGGAATGGGATCAGCAAGGAAGAACTTTGTGGGCACTAACCTGGGCTTTTGTTTTGACGCCTGTGGTGCTTGACTTAGCCTTCCGTGTGCTCGTCATGCTCAGTGGAAGCAGGCCAAACCTCCAAGAGGAAAGGAAGAATTTCAGGGGCAGGAAGGAGCAACCTTGGAGCCCAGTGAGAGTTCTCACGATCTGGCTCACCTGATCTGACTCGAGGCCAATGGCAGTATGTTGTGGGCTTCCTGGGAGTTCAATGAACTGCTCCGAGGGGTGAACTGGTTCTCTGTACCAGTAACCAATCCAAATAGGACCTGATGTACAAGAGTGAGCAGAGCATAAAACAGGATTTTACTGTTCAGATCAGAGAATCATTTCTCCATTAGTAAGCACCACCAATGAATTTCTAACCGTCACTTTTGGAGCTGTTTTTTTGAGTGTGTGAATATTTCAAAATTACGTTCTTTCATGGAATCTCATGGCCATGTTGTTCTCATTCTGAGGTTTGTATCACAGTTTATTAATCCTTAACTATAACTTAAGAGGTTAGATCACTGCCACCCCAGTGCACGTGATTTGCTCTCATCCTCTTTCAGCCTTTGCATCTCTACTCAGCTGCCTGCGTGTCACCCTCTGCCAACACTGCCTCCCTGAGTACTAAGTGCTGAGCAGGTCTGTTGTGTAATGTGGGGCTGTGGCATTTGGTTCATGCTGAGGGTATTTTGAGGCAACTTACGGAAGTGCGCTGCACCAGAAGATGGAGGTTGCTGTTGAGGTACGGTGTGAACACATCCAGGTCAAAGGGGTCGATGAGAGCTTCCAACTGCTCAGTCACTTTCTCAGTTCTTAGAAAAGTGTACCATCGATATTTTCCAGGGTTTTTAAGGATGAAAAAACAATTTTACAACATTTTCTATTTACAGAAGTTCTGAAGTAGATTTGATATCTAAGTCAAAATCATTCTTTCCTGCTGTTTCTAGGGGAAGCACTAAGATCTCAAATTATACCCAGCGGTCACAAGCTGGACCTCCAGAGGAATGAAGTTCTGCCTACTTTGCTTGACATGAAATGCACCCAGCACTACACTTCTGAGGGGGTCAGGTCCCAGCAAACCACTATAAATTGAAAGCACCATAAACTGGAACTGACCACCACAGCCGAGCACCAGCACCTGCTCAGAGGGTACGTGGTTTCTCTTTATGACTACAGGGCTGCCCGGAGCCGTGGCCTCCGGATGCTGACCACATTTTGAGAGACGATCATAATGCATAGCACGAGCCCAGGAAAAGCCCCAACTGCCAAATGTGAATGGTAATTCTCCTGAATGCTTGCTGTTTTCCCTCCATAGTACTGTGAAAAAAAAACTGAGAACAGCCCCCATGAGCAGGGAGCATCTCCATGCACTGGGAAGAGACCTTGGTGGACAGCCCAGCAGAGATGCAGTACCTGCAGTCCAGCTTGCCATGACCACTCTTCATCTCTTGCTTGCTACTGAGGACAATGCGGAGGTAGCGCAGGTCATAGAGGAGCTGCAGCGCCCAATTCTGTGTCAGTGGAAATGCGCCTTCCTTCTGCAAGTGAATCCCCAGCCCAGGGACACATGGCTCATTATGTGGCACAGGGACTAAGTGAGTGTTCTGACTGGGCTACACCTTGGTGTTTCCCAGGCAGGGTTAATCTCACAACCACAGTGTGCACTAGCAGCTGGGTCAGAAGGCTAAAAACCTAAGAGCAGAGCATTCAGGGAGACCCCGCCCTTAATCAAACAGGCCTCACTGCTGCTGTAGGTGTCATTTCTGCAAACCAGGGCTTCGTGCGTGAAGGAGGCATATGGTGAGGAACCCTAGCAGAGTAGAACTCACTGACTTTGTTCCCGTGTCAGGACTGCTCCTGTCTTTCACATGTGTCTAATGCAGTGGGAAGCAGAGGCTGGGGGACACAGACTTCCCCCTACTCCTGCCTGTGCCACAGCTGTGGAGAGCAGCTGCCCTCCTAATGGGCACCCCTGCTGAGGATGAGTGGGAGATCTCCATGTTAGCTGGGAGGAACCAGCTGAAGACTTCATCTACTGGGCACATAAAAGGAAATGCAAGGTTAATCATTTGCCCAAAGTCTGCAGTGAGCAGGTGGCAGTGCCAGGGCTGTGAGCTGGGTCTCCTTTCTCTGAAAGCCAGCATCTGGCTCACTTGTCCTGAAGCTCCTCCTTCAGGGAGACTAGTATGCCCCAAGAGAATGGGTGTGAGCCACAGAGCTGCAGGAGCCTTTACAGGACCGGATGCCTGGGCTGCGTGATACTTAACACTCCAGACCTTTGATGTGAACTGGCAACAACCAAGAAAAAGAAAAGCCTTTGCTTATTACTAATGGGGGATCAATCAAACACCCACCTTTTGCTTTCCTTCTGAAAGTTTCTCATAGGCAGTGATTACTTGAACCATGCAGTTTTTCAGCATCTCCTGGAGTGTCACTTTTGGCAGGGTGTGGCCTCCAACCCGATTCATTTCCTGGCATAAGCTAAACAGGAAGGACTGTACATACCAGGATGGCTACAAAAACAAAGGAATGTCATGTTGCCAACTTACACCCATTAAATGACACATAGCAAAAGTGGGCCCATTTATCCTTTCAAGGCACATATGCCAGGACCTTGAACTCCCTGCTCAAGCATCTCCCAGATACAAAGTCTCTGTGAAGTCTTCGCTTTTGCGGTCTGAGGTCCACCAGGCAGACGGCATTGTAATGCTGCTGTCTCACTTCAGGGTAAGTGGTTATCTTAGCACAAGGCCCATGCTACCAAGGAAAGTATCATCAGTTCGCTTCTAAAGCGGCCTTTGATCTAGGTGTTCTCACATCCTCATGCCCCCCAGTCCTGTGGTACACCTCTCGGCAACTACTCCTTCGAAGCTGCATGTTGAATGACTTTCTGAGATTGTTTTGCTTCCCCAATAGGAGGTCTTTCCCTTCTTCAGCTCAGGTCCCTGTGATGGCAGCATGTGCTCACCTGTGAAGGGAGTCGGATCTTGGATGTGATGCTGCTGCCAGACTCAGTCTCCTCCTGGATTTCCAGTTCCTCCCAGTTTGTGGCTGTGGCTAGGATGGAGCCAGCGTCATCTAAAAGTAATGACTGGGTAAACCTATGGACCAGAACCTGGTGATCAAAGTAAAATATCCATGTAAGTCCTACAGACTGTAGCGTTTGTTACCTGGAATGATCTTCAAACCACATTAAGCTGCTGAGGTTGTAAGTGGGATGATGAGGGGTCACCACTACCCTCCTTTTGCTAATTACCACTAGCAATAAGGGGAATGCAGATGCTATGCACCTTACTCACATCAAACACTACCATACACTGTAACAGCTTACTTATCTTGTGAGGAGGCAGCTAGAACAGCCTAACATAAAATCACGTAAAAATAAAAAAAAACACACATCCATTTACAGCTAATTCAAGCAGCTAGATAAGCTTTAAAATATTAAAGACAGAGAGACACAAGATTAAAATAAAATTACAGACAAGGACTTTTCCTCCCCACAAGTTCATACAGAGTAGGCCAAGGTGACAGTTCCTCCGTTTCTCCAGTCTATACCTCAAAGACCCACTGCTTTAAACTCATTTTCTTTGAAAAAAGCTTTTTTCACATTCTGCTTATTCACGTAAAAAAAAAAAAAAAAAAAAAAGAAAAGAAACCTTAAGTGATTTGGATTTCCATTCAAAATCTCTTCCTGGGAACAGAAATATTTCTCTTATTTCCAATAAATTATTTCATAATTCTTCCTTTTGTCTATGATTTCATTCTTTGAGTTCATGAGATTATGAGCTGTTTATATAAAATTAACTATCTCAATATGTAAGCAGTGGACAGTGCAGGATTGAGATATTTACACTGAGGGCAAGACAGACAGACCGGGGCTGGGGATTTAGCTCAGCAGCATAAGTGCCTTTCTTGCAAGTGTGTGGTCGTGAGTTTAATCCCTGGTACCGATAAAAACAAAAAAGACAAAAAAAAAAAAAAAAAAAGACAGACAGACCTCTGCCCAGGCAAAAATGTTTTAGTTCTTTTTCGTGTGTGTGTGTGTGTGTGTGTGTGCATGTGTGATTATTATGGTATTGGGGATTTAACCTCACACCTTTGCACTGAACTCTATCTCCCAATGATTTATTATTATTTTGTTTACTTTGAGATAGTCTTAATATGGCATGAAGTGGCCCAGGCTGGGCTTAAAAATGTGATCCTTCTGCCTCAGCCTCTCATTACTAGGATCATAGGCAAGTACCACATTTTACGGATTTTTCATTTCCCCTGATAGAAGGGAAAAAAGAAGGCTTTCTGTCCATAAAATCTAAGTTAAAAACAAGTAGAAAAGGTTTACACTTGAATCACCTTGGAGAGGCAAGTTGCACACAACTGTGAAATAAGCTGTTACTCTCTTACAACCTAAGGAACTAAGGTTAGTCAGACCTGAGTAAGACAAAGGGAGGCAAACAAAAGATCCTAAGAATCTCCTCTCACTCACTTTCACAACTGCTGAGCTCCAGACCTGGTAGCCCATCACACTGTGCTGGAGAAGTAATTCTTTCACCTCCTGCCACTGGGCCTGTCCGGGAATGAGATCCTGAGCTTTCCCCTTCGCCTGCTTTTTCGGAGCCCTTGTCTCCCTTTCTGGTTTCTCAGCACTTCTAGACCTTCCCACAATGCACAGCTTCAGGTGGGGGCACAGTTCGCCTAGGGACTGGCAGAGTCTGGCCATGAAGAGGACCGTGTGCAGCTTGGTGCTGTGGAGGACATCCTCCTGGGCCTGTACAACAACTTCGATGCTCTGCAGCTCCGCCTGGATGCAACCCATGATGTATTTGACACACTCCATAGAGTGAGTCCGCAGCATGGCTTGCACAGTCTCAGCATCTGCATATCGGTCAAAGGCAGAGTTCTTGGCCTGCAGCATAGGGGCAGTATCCTTGGGCAGGGCCGAGTCATCAGAGGGAAGGTAAGTCAGGAGGTCATCCAGTTTAACCTTTAGCTTGGAATCCAAGGCAGTACAGAAATTCTGGACATGAGGACTAATAGCCTGGGCTTTCATGGAGAGGCCAGTACTGGCTAACTGGGGTCGGTTTGCCACACTGACCCAGGCGGCATCAGAAGGCAGGTCAGTGGGACTCTCATGCCAGAGGAAGAGAGACATGTTTTGCTCAAAGAGAATGTGCTTGTTTGGTGTAGAACTGCCGGAGCTGCTCTCAAGTTCCTGCAGAGCTGAGAGCAGCAGCTCTTTGGAGCTACTGGAGATGGACTCAAAGCCTTCCTTTGTCAGAGTCTGAAAGAGAATGAGAGGACAGTTCTAACCCTTGCTCTTTAATGAAATTTCAAGTAGCAAGTGATCTTAGCATTCAGAATGTTCCCAGGACATTCAGAAAATCTTCGTGGTGTGGCAGAGAATCAAAAGATACCACCCTGATAGACATGGGCTTGTTCCAGGCCACCTACGTGAGGTCTGGTATGCTGCTCAGGTCTAGTCTCTCCAAGTGGTAGTGAGTAGGGACAGAATAGACCCAGGAAGTGACAGGAGGCTCTCAGGATAGGCACAAGTTCACACTGGGCCGGCTGTGAAACAGGGGGCCCAGGTGGTTTCCCGCCTCACCTGTAGGCGGTCGAGGAACAGCTGCTGCATCATGTCCTCCCAGAACAGGAGTGGCTTCTCCAGAAGCCGCCTGCACACCACCTCCCAGCTTTGTCTGGCGGGCTCACTTGTAAGTAACTGCCATATGGCATCCCGGATCCCAGCGAGACCTTTCATGCTCTTCACATACAGAAGCAGGTTAGTGATCCCGTTCTTAATATCTTCAGTACACCTGAACAACATTTCCCATGAGCTTCATTATGCTTGTGGTTTCTATACCATTATTAAGAAAAATGACAATAACTTGATTCCAAACCTTTTTTTTTGAGGCGGTGAAGTGTCTGGGAATCAAACCCAGGACCTCTGCAGTCAGATAGATACCGAGCCTCTTTTAAAATTTTATTTACTGGGAATAAGGTCTAGCTATATTACCAAGTTACTCAGGCTGGGGTCAAATTTGAATCCACCAGCCTCAGCCTTCCAGCAACCATTCCCCTCTACTTGAAAATCTCTTACCTAGAGACAGAGACACAGACACATATAAATTCAGAGCACTTAGGTGCCAATGTTTCTGAATGGTTCTGGCACAGAGTCCTTAGCCCTCTTCATTCTTACTTTCTTAAAGATATGAGAGACTCTCAAGATCCATGGAATTGTTTCAAATACAAAAGCATTAAATAAAATTTTAGGAATTGGAAAAACTCTTACTTAAAGAGAATTTAAGGGCCCCTACATAACATTGTCAAAGACAATTTTCTTCCTTGGTTCTCCCCCAGGGGAATGCAGGGGCACTTCAGCCAAGTGGCTGGGATTCTCTGCACAGACCTCACTGACCCATATACGGCCACATCACAGGCTGCACGGGGGCCAGGCCCGCCTCAGAGGTATGTGCTACTCACATAGTGATCCACTTCTGCAGCGTGTCTCTCAGGTATTCCTGGCTGATGGGATGTGCCAGGGTTCGGAGCACTGGCTGGAACTCGACGACAGATGATGGCAGGTGTCTGAGCCAGCTGCCCAGCTTCATCTCCCCTTGCAGGATACTAATGCCTTTCCCTAGAGAAAAATCTCAGTGAGAGGTAGCCCAGGCCATACCTGGAAATACATTATTAAAAATGGACCTCAGAGGAACTTCCAAAAATCCAATTTTCACTGGTGAGTCAAAATAGAACCCTACAACAGAGGGAAAAATAAAGTACAGCATATGTCCAGTCCCTCCTCAACAGGGATCAGAATTCCTGTAACTGTGGTCATCTCTGGGATGAAGAAGTACAGGTAAAAAGAGTAGAAGGAAGACATAGTGCTGTGCACACCCTAACATTGTTTTTCTTTCCTTAAGGTAGGATCTTGCTATGTTGGCCAATGTGTCCTCTAACCCTGGGCATCAGTGATCCTCTTGCTTCAGCCTCCTGCAGACCTGGGACTACAGTAACACATCACCTGGCAACCTCTGACATTTTAACACCATATTCCTATCACCCTTGAGGAACTATGCGGTGCAGCTTAGAGGTGATGCACCCTGTACTCTATGTGCAAAGTCCTGTGAGTTTGAAACCCCGGGCCCTTCTGAAGTGACTCATAACTCTGTTTGCCAGTGCACTAGAGATTAGCTATCCTCATCCTCTGTGAAAGGTGTAAAGTAGCAAATGTAAGCACTGGAAGAGAAACCAAAATACAAGGGAACAGTGTCTGAGCACAAAGGTCAAGTCACTCAAAGATGAGGTTGTATGATATTGTATCTCTTTTTGGAAATGGCCACTTGGTCATAGCCACACTCAATTGTTTGTTTTTGGTCTTTGTATGTATTTCTGCTGTTTTGGAGACACTTCCACGTGCCTTTGTACTCCTGGAGTTCTAAGGCACAGCTTGCTCTCTCAACATTTTTTTCTTAAATAACTTCCATATGTATCAAATAACTCCCATATGCAGATGCACTGCAGGTGTGTCTCTGAGAGTCATTTGCTCAACCCAAGGACCATTCCAACGTATTAATCCTCTCTAGTGTGTGAACTCACCACCAGACTCTTCAAATCAGCTCCTTTTCTAGTTAACTTGGACACTTCCCTTTCCAAACCAACCCATCATCAAATCCTTTCCTCGAGATGCCAGGTAAGGTGGCACAGGCCTGTAATCCCAGTACTGAGTAGGATAAGGCAGGGGGGTCACTATGAGTTTGAAGCCAGCCTGGGCCTCATAATGAGTTCAAGGCCAGTGTGAACTACATAGTGAGACCCTATCTCAAAAAAAATCCTTTCTTCAATAGACATGAAGATTGTCCAGTGAGCTCCATTTCTACAGCTCCCTTGTAATTTACAATCTGTCTCCATGATCACAATGACAGCCTTCTACGTGAGCCCTCAGCATCCCTCTACCCTATGGGATCCCACTAACACTTAAGAGCCAGTTGTAGTTATTTAATTACAGTTGAAATACAGGCTACCCAACTGAAGGGAATACATGAGAACACACAGGAGCTACACAATCTAGGAAGGTCCCAGAAGGTATCCATTGTTCCTTGGATAAAGTGCACACTCCCAAGCCTTGCCCACAAGACCTGCCTTTAATTGGCTCTTGGCAACATCTTATCTCCTCTCGTGCTCTTTTAAATCTCACTCAGGAAACCTCACCCTCACTGGCCTTCTTCACTTCCTCCATGACACTACCATCTTCCTTGCCTTACAGTTCTATATACTCTCTTCCCTTTGCTTGGAACTCTCTTCCTTGATAAATTATATTCTACCTTTAGCCTTCAGTTTAATGATCACTTCGTCATGTAGTCCTCTCTGGCCCTAGCAAGTTCCAGTCACAGTTCCCAAGGCAACTTGTATTCTGCATTTATAGCAATGACTAATAGTGACATTAAACAGTTGTTTGCATATTAATGAGTTTAATATCTGCCTCTACCACTAGACCATGACCTCCGTGTTTCTCTAGTTTCCTGGCCCAGTGGCTGGAACAAGTTAGACTCTGGGTAAGGATCTATTGGATGAGCCAGAAAACTGTTGGTTAAGAGCTCACCGGTGGGATGCTGGCCTGTGATGGTCTCCAGAGTAGAGAAGAGCAGCCCACATGGCAGGCATGGATCTGGCAGCAGCCCTTCTGGTAAAGTGTAGAAAAGGGCATGTGCTTGGTTTAACGTGGTGGCCACCAATTCCACTAATGAGCAAAACTGGGCCTTGATGCCAGAACCTGTGAGAAGAAATCACTCTCTTTAAACAATTTCTAGTAGAAAAGTTAAAGACATAGCCCTTTGGATGCTCCAGTCTCTTTCTGCTCACCCTGTTCAATTCTATACTTAAGGACCAAAATTTTGGAAAGAAGTCACACCCACCGTGGTTCGGCTGGCTGAGAAGTGTCTGAATAGCTGCCTTTCTGGCCATCAAGAAATCTGTGAGGGCTTGGCGAGGAGAACTCTCTTCTAGGAGCATTATAGAGCAGAGGGCCCCTGCCACAGCTTGGTCAGACACAGCTTGACATTTGAGCAGCATCTTGCTTTCACGCAGAATTGTTGACCTTGAAAGAAGATGACAAACATCAGCAGGAAATTTTTAACATCTTGGGGTGAAGAGCCCTGGTATACTGGGAAAGAAGACAGATTCCATAAAACTGCAGTGATGAAGGCCTGGCAATCACTGGAGATCTTCCTGTAGCATCTACTTACCGGAAGTGGCTGGCTGCTGTCACCTGCCGGATGAGTATAGGAAATCGGGAGAGGACTGGACTGTACTGTGAACTGGATGCATCCAGCTGGAGTAGGCTGTGGAGGTGGCAGCAGAGCAGGTAGAGCTGTGTGGCATGGAGATACTGAGAGGCTTCCATGGAGCTCCAGATCTTCTCAGGAATTTCCAATAGCAGCTTGATCTGGGCAGCCATGCTGTAAAACTTCTCCTGGGACGCTGGCGGTTGCTGTTGGGAAGGGCATAACAAAGTCAGAAAAATAAAAGCCAGATCAGTGTTCTGCAGGCTAAATGACAAGTCAGAGGTCCTTCAGTATTTTAAGGTTTCACTATTCTGGACTCAGTGCCACTTGGCTGGGTGTCAAGGTCTAATGTAAAGTAAACACCTTCATCATCTCACCCTCTGGTTACCAGTAATGCTCTTTTAGTGCTATTTGTTTTGTTTTGTTTTTTGGTATTACTGAGTTGACCCCAGTTGACTCAGCTACATCTCCAACTCCTTTTTGAGAGTGTCTTGTCACTCTAATTATGCTTGATCTTGCTATCTTCCTACTTCAGTTTCCCAGAATGATAATATTAGAGATGTGCACACCATGCCTGCCTATCCTCCTTACCCTGTGATCCTCTTGGATGTCTTGATAGCAGCAACCCCTGCAGGCTACTCCTCCTGCAAGAACTGTCTATTTTCCTCATGTTCAGCCTTACTATTTTTGCCCTGTTGTTTAAAGGGCACCAAGGGCTTCTTTGTTAACTGCTCTTCACCAACTATGCAAATCTTTTATCTTGAGGATTGTGGCTTTTCCCCATCTTAATCTACCCTCTCAAGCATCACCTCTCACAGGAGTACTGCCTCATAAAAGAGCTGGAGGGAACTCCAGCTTAGGGCCTTTAATGGTCTCTCTTTCCACCATTCTTAGTGCAGTAGGAAGGCCCTTATCACATAACAAATGCCACTGCCTTTATCCAGACATGTAAAATGCCGACTATGACAAAATGAATTTTTGTTCTTTATGAATAATCCAATCTGACATATTTTGTTATAGCAACATAAATCAACTAAGAGCTACATTCCAAATCTCATGTTTTTAAGGACCTTCCTTCTTGAGGACCCAATCTGAAAGTGATTTCCTTTACCACTCTTATGGCAAATTATTTTGGGAATTCATCTGTTATGCTAAAATATTCCCTACTGCTGTTCTAAACCACTTCTATTTCTTATGAACCTGTCTTGAATTTATAACCTAGAATATCTCAGTAGGATGGATCAGAGCAGGAATTAGGAGACTGCTGCTTATTTGTGAACTGAACAAAGACACTCAAATTTGGAGCGAGGGAGGGGACAGAAAAGCAGATATAGTAACTATGAAAATGAATACACTTCTAAAGTCAGGTCTTTTAATAAGTCTGAAAGTATGGTTCAGTCACAGCAAATTCTGGCCACCTGCAGAACAAGTACTTCACACGCAGTTCATGGAAGGTTGAGGTCATTCATTTCAAAAACTTCCAAAGAATTTCCAACCATCTTTATATATAGTTCTTATGCATTACCCCATTGCCTAGCCTCGTTTTCTGTAACCCGGGTAGCATGAGAAGGTCCCGCAAGCGATCTAAATGTACTTTTGCAACTTACTCTTCCCTATCACACTAAGTTGTCACCGGTTACGCTCAAATGCCTCGTACACCTGCTTCATCTCCATGCCCCTCACTCTGCTCATCCCTAGGTCAATTTTCTCCAGGGAGGCCAGAGGCTGCTCCTCATTTACTGCCCCCTTCCTTCTCCTTATCATTAGTGTTTGGGAGAAGAAAAAAAAAAAAAAAAAAGGCAGGGAAACCTGAATTTGAAGAGCCCCAGTTCCCTATGATGAACATGTTCGGGTGCTCAAATGTCAGGACTTGCCACCTCAGATCCCCTCCAACTCCAAAGGTGGGGATGCCACCTGGCTGGGTGAATTTATTCCTGGGGGCAGGACAGGGAAAGACGGCTGGGCCGAAGAATGAATGACTGGAGGGGAATATGTGAACCTAAGGGAGAAATCTGGTCCCTGGAAAGAACGTCAGGAGGTGGTAAATTCGGTAAAGGGTAAACTCGAGCCCTAACAGGGAGTCCGGCCGCGGTGAGCGGTTCGGGGAGGAAGTCCGGACCGCTCCAGAAGACACCGTCGACGACATGTGGCGAAAGGACCTGCAGCCCTCCAGGGCCGGCCCGTGCCGCTCACTCCCGGGGATGAGGTTGGCGGGCCGGGGCGGCTGCGGCACTGACCTGCGGGGCCCGCGGGGGCCGGGAGGCGGCCGAGCCGGCCTGGCGGAGGCGGCCGCAGTACTGGTCGGTGGCTTTCACCGCGTCCACCAGCCCCTCGGCGCAGCGGCGCATCTGGCCGATGGTGTCGGCCGCCTCGATCAGGTCGCGGTACCGCTCGCCCACCATCTGCCGCAGCTCCTCCTTCTTGTGCTCGATCTCGGCCCGAACCTGGCGCTCTAGCCTGCGGATTTCCTCAGCCCCATGAGTCTCGAAAAGCGCTGCAGAGTCGCGCAGATCCAGCCGCTTCAGAGCCGCAGAGGTAGCCATGGCCGCCACGATACTGGACTCAATCAACGGTCAACCACTTCCGCCCACCAGCCCCGCCTCCGCCCCGCCATTTTAGATGAGGGCAGAAGTGCTTCCGCTCCCTCGGAGCCGCCATGTTTGTTCTGGGCTTCTTGGGTGTGACAGATGGGCGGTGTTGTTTGGAAGGCAGGTGCCTACTTAGAATTTAGCTAGGGACTCGAGTTACCTAAAAAACTAGGTAGCAAGGTTGATTGTTCGCTTGCCAGCCGACACCTGAAACACTTTTAGGTGCACCTGGACCCTTTCCTTGATAGAAAAAAAGCCTTAAGATAGAGTTATTGCAATTAGGCATGTGTCATCTGACTGTCATTTCTGCCCTAGACGCTTATGTCCCCTTCTAGGACATGGTAATGCCCCCAGGGACCATGTTATTTCGCTGTCAGTCGGCCCCATTTCTGTCGAATCTCCTGTTAAAACCTGGCTACCCAGATATCTGGTAGCTTGAGGACTGGAGGCCAAGGGTGGATCACAATGTTTGACCCTGCTACTGCCACCTGCTGGTGCCTTCCGACGCACCATGCCCCACGTCCCCGTGACACGTAGATGCAATGTAAGGAGGCAGATTTGCATCCTGTTATTTGCTAGCGTCATTAGCTGAATGTCATTTGAGAAAAAAAGTTTGAGACCATTTCTGTACGTTGGAAAAAGTTAAATTGCAAAGACTGCCTCAGGGACTCCCGAACACTTATTTTGCTTGTTTCTTTTTCTGATTAGTTCTTTGAGGTTTTCCGTTTTGCTTCAGACCTTCATTTCGTCAGGACAAAAGATGTTTCTCCAGCTACATGTGGCTGAGCAGAAAGTGTTGGACAGAAAAAGTGCAAGGAGGCATCTGGAATGGGGTAGGTGTTAACCCAATCAGTAATGAAACCTGCATCTCCTAATTCAGAACCCTCATGTTGAGTTTATAACAGACAATTTCACTCCCCAAATAGTACATTGTGTCATCAGCCATTTTCCACACTGACCCTCTTTGCCATCTATGTCAGTCTGATATTCAGCCCTCCTGCTGCCCTCTCCCACCCACCAGCTTCATTATTTCCAGGCAATTCCCAGACAGCCACAAATTTCCCTCTGTACATAAATTATTAACTTTTGTTATTCTACTTTACCTCACAGTAGTCCTACAGTACAGGGAATATCATTCTTGCTTCACAGATGGTTCACTTGAGACCCTAGGAGGAAAATAGATGTACTCACTACCATTTGCAAAGTCTGTTATACCCATCAGCTCTGTAACTATTCTATAAGTAGCAAAAACCTAAGGAAGGCTATTTATTTACCTACCAGTGTCACACAGCTTGTAAGTTACAGTGAGCACTTGCACCTAGATTTTTAAATTCTTAGCTACTGGCTTTTTTTACTTTTTAAGTTTTCTCTAAATTCAGAATGCCCCTTGGTGATAGGGCTGCATTTCTGGCTGTGCAATCTCATTCTACAGGGGACAATTTATGTTTCCTGCACAGCATCTGCAAAATCTGTTCTATATCTTGGGAATTCCTTTCTGTGTGGAAGGATCTTTCACTAGGATTCCTTACAGTTACAGGGCAAGCCAGTGGCCTGGGACGAATGAACTAGATATAACCATCTGGCCTCTGAATGGACAGAATGCTGGTGAAGTCAGGAAGCAGGGAAGGGATGAGTTGTTCTGCTAGCAGCCCAGGGGTTACCTGCAGCTTGCATTCCCCAGGGACAGCAGGGGCAGTGAATCCAGCTGCAGCTCGTAAGTGCCAGTGCTAGAAACAGAGCTGTTGGTACCTGCAGTTATCCACAGGGTGACCTCTCCAGAATCATCCAGTGGCATGCTTTGATTGGATTTGGATATGTACCTTCCCTTTGTCCATTTTCCCTGTTTCTCCAGCTTTGTTAGAGATGTTCACTCTGTCTAATGTTTTGTTGATAAATTCCATTGCTTTATTTTTAATGTTTTTGTGGTATTGGGGATTGAATCTGGAACCTCACAGTGGCCTACATCCCCAGCTTTTATTTTTTGTATTTTTGGTTTTTAGACAGGGTCTTGGTAAATCACTAAGTTGCCCTGGCTGGGCTCAAAGGAGTGATCTTCTTGCCTCATACCCCCAGGCTGGTAGGATTATTGGCTTGTGTCACCAGGCTTGACTGATAAATTTCATTTCTTTGAAGCTTAAAGACAAGGTCTATGGCTTGTCCTAAAGACTCTAACTGAGAGTCTGTACTTGAGTTCCATCTCTATGAAAGTTGGCTGAAGCTTTTCCAATGGTATTGGGCTGTGTGTGTCAATGTATAAATGCGGGCAGGAGGCCTGAAGTTTTACATAAGAGATGCTCCTTGTACTTTTACATAATACCTGCAATTTCAGATTGAGAAAAGGTCAGCTGCCAACCAAGTGGCTGAGTGTTTCCAGAGACCAGTGTGCTCTGTGATCAGGGCTTGCTCTCTATGTCTTTCCACTGTGTTTTTCCTGCCAAGTTTATTTGACTGTCCTGAAGATGCCACTGTCGTTCCTCTTCTTGCAGAACTCGGTGCTGATAGAGGCCGTCTGCAACCTTTCTTTTTAGCCTGAACACTGGAAACACACCTGAGGCCTGGAGGAAATGGATCATTGCTTCTGCTTTTGAAGCCTCTCTTTCTTTCATCTGCTTCCAGGGAGCAACCCTACGTCTCCTGCTGCCTTCAGCTGGAATTATGAAAACTAGGAATTAGGCAAAGTGCTCAGCTTCGGCAGTTGGATCAGAAGCTGTGTTGCAGACAGGCAAGAGAGGTGAGAAACTAAGTTCTTTTTACGTGAGATATTAGGAGGTACGTGAATATTGCCATAGTTTAGTTTATTGTAGGCATAAGTACAGATATGACTCCTAGTACTGCATCAAGCTTCCTTCCTTTTACATTAACACATTCCTGCCATCTCAAATCACCAGTACTGTCCCATCGAGCGACTCAGGACACTTGATGGGATTGTTCCATGCTACCCAGTAGGACAGTCATGCATGTACCACTAGTGGTTGAAGCCTGCAGGAATGTAACACATTCAAATCAGAGCTTCCCAGCAGTGAGACATATGAATTATGGTCCCATTATGACTTTCAGCTATAGAATTCTAAGCCTGCTTAACCTGTTATGGTATATTTAGATCATCCTGGGCCCCTGCATTCTTCTGATAATAGTAGCTCTAATTGTGGGCACCATCTAGGTGTCCTGCGTATATTATTTCTAATTCTCACACTAATCCTATGCATAAGCAGTTTGGCACTCATTTTACTGATAAAAACCAAGGTCTATCCAGATCATATAACCTGACTGAAGTCCAGAGCCAAGCCTGTTTTCAGATCCTGGTCAGTCTGACTTTAGAAGTCCTTGATCTTTTTGCTTTGTTGCATGATTAGTTTCAAAGAAAATTTCAGAATAACAAGAGACCCATGGTCTCTTGCATGGTCTCCAGCAATTCTGAGCACCATTCAGATGGTCCCCATACACTCCCTACCCTCTGCTTAAGAGTGGGTCTCCATAGTAATTCAGGCAGTTTGGGGCCCCAAAGTAGAAGTAGATCTCCAGTGATTGAGAGCTAATGTCGCATGGAGTGGCCATGCTTGGTAACCAAATGTCAACCGTGCTACGGTGCTATCTTCACCGCCAGAAACATATTCCCACATTCAGTCTCTTTGAGGCCCCCCCGGTATGTACTCTTATCTCATTCAGAACATTTAGGACCCAGATTTCTTCTTTTTTTTTCTTCCTTATTTCTTATTTTGTAGTAGATATTTAGAAATAAAGCCAGACTCAAATATTTCAAGGAAAGAGCACTATGGTAACTACTATTAAGTTGGGTTATCCTGTGGTGAAGCACTAGGTTGCTGAAATTGTTATGCTTTGACCTGTATTGTTATGCTGTTATATCCTCTTTTATCTCAATTTCCCCCTTTTTGTAAAAAAAATTATTGATTTATTTTATTATTATTTTTTTTAATTAAGGGAAAAAATAAAAAAACTCAGCAGGATATATTATAGTAACTTTTTTGATTTCCTTTTAACTTGATTTGAAGCCCTGTATTGCTCCCACCATCTTGTTTTGACTGATTTCACTCTGTTTTGTTCTGTTCTGTTTGATAGTATCAAGTTTGAGGGTATAGGCAACTACTTTGAAGGCAGTAAGATTTACTATGACGCCCATTCTGATTTGAGTATTATCTTCTTTTGAAGTCCTGTAATGTCTCCAGTGTTTAGCTTTTATTAGTCTTGTTCTGTACTGTTTTGTTCAATTTTATTATACCTAATGATATAGACAATTCTTTTTAAGGTCGCAAGAGGCATTATGGTAACCATTGTTGATTACCTTGTATTCTGTTTTTACATCATGTACTATGTCCATCCTTTGTTTTGACTGACTGCTTTGTTTTGTCATATTTGGTTTTATTCTCTTCCACAAAAAAGTAATAAGAACTATGGGAGTAATAAAACCCAAAATGTGTAAATGTTATTGTAAAAAGAGAGGGGAAAAAAAGTGCTCTAAAGGATACAACTGCAAGTGTGTTTAGGGGTGTTAAATAAATGACTATATTAATGTTTTTGGTTGGATCATTGAACACAACTGTTTGCAGTCTCACTATTTGAATGTCCACTTTGTATGTTTTAATCCTGTAACTTGAACAACTATTTCTAAGATGACAATATGTAATCTATTAACTAGTGATACCTTACTTTTTTTTATGAAATTCTGTATTACTTGTACCTTTATACTGTTTTGTTTTGTTTTGTGCTCCTTTAAATAAAATTTAAAAAAAATAAATGAAGCCAGAATAATGCTGAAAATAGATGGGCTTTCAATAGTTTGGCTACTGAATGTCTCCTCCAAAGCCCATATGTTAAAGGGATTGTTCCCAGGGCAGCACTTTCAAGAGGTGGTAGAACCTACACAAGGTGGCTCTATCTATGGGAGGACTTGGGTCATTTGGGGGTGGCCTCCAAAAGGATATGACACTGTGGTCACCTCTTTGCTTTCTTTTCTTCCTGGCTATGAAGAGGTTT